AGAGATAGAGAGATAGACAGAGATAGAGAGATAGACAGAGATAAAGATAGACAGAGATAAAGATAGACAGAGATAAAGATAGACAGAGATAAAGATAGACAGAGATAGAGATAGACAGAGATAGAGAGATAGATAGACAGAGATAAAGATAGACAGAGATAAAGATAGACAGAGATAGAGAGACAGACAGGTACTTTCAGTGAAACTGGCACTGACCTCATTACAGGATGACCCGTATGAGTGTTTTGGGTCACACTGACAGTGCTGACAGCCGAGGCCGCTCGCCATGTTCCAGGTGTCCGGAGCGCAGCGATCACAGTGTTGACCAGTCACGTTTGGCCGGCAGTGACACTGACCGCTGCTGCGGTCGCAGTGACAGTTGGTGGGTGACAGACAACTGGAAGGATCACTCCCCAGCTGATTACAGACACATTCTGCAATCAAAAACAAGAGCTCCTTATTTATTCATGCTGCCTTAATAAAGAGTTTATGTAGATCATCATAAATGCTTAAATGGCCTCGCAACCCTTTACCTCTCTGAGCTACTGGAACCTTACGTTCCTTCTCGGGCCCTGAGATCATCCGATCAGCTGCTTTTGGCTGTTCCAAAAACAAGACTGAAGCTCAGAGGAGATCGGGCTTTTTCAGTCATGGGCCCCAAACTCTGGAACAACCTGCCCCCCAACATCAGGCAGGCCAGCTCCATTCCTCACTTCAAATCCCTGCTAAAAACACATCTGTTCTCGCACAGTATAAATTGATTTGGTGTCTTTTGTTCTGATCCTATGTTTTAAATGCTTTTTATTAATTCTTCAGTTATTATTATTAGTGTATTGTATTTTTTTCTCTCTTTAATTTTACTCCCTTTGATTGTTGTTGTTGTTGTTAAGCACTTTGATAATAGGTTCTGTTTTAAATGTGCTCTATAAATAAATAAAGTTGACTTGACTACATCATGTACAAAATTTTGATATGAATTTCTCTTTTTTTTCTCTCTCTCTCTTTACTCCGGTGAAGACAGACGTGTTTTCCCGGCGCTCCGTACCCCCCCCACCCCCGCGCTTCCCTGCTTGCACTCTTTCGTCCTGTGAACCCTTAAAGAGACTCTTTTTTTCTGCATACCTCCTAATTCGAAGGATCATCTGGTCTCTCAACAAAATTGATCAACTTCTCCTGACAGGAGTCAGGGTAAGGAGGACCCTCTTACCTCAACGGAAACAAATTGGATTCATGATGACAAATGGTTTCTTTGCTGTTTGGCTGGTGAATTCTGGATTGTCTATAAATTTGTGTGGATGTGTCGAAGCTCGGCAGCACTCAGAATAAATTATGTGCAGTTGTGTCAGAGAGCTGGAGCAGCTGTTATCAGGACTGTGGACTCTCTAGCAGCACACATGAAGGTGGGAATACTCTTGGAGAAGCTGTGAGCTCGACTTTAAGGAATCAGTTTGGCTGTTTGGAGTTTCCATCAGAGGAATATACCAGCGAGACTTTTAATGGCAGAAACAGCAATTCATGAGTTCTGCCTGACCCAAACTGTGGCCTTGATGCCGGACTTATCTCAACTCCTCCTGGAATGTTTTGAAAACAACAAAGATGCTTGGACTGTTTCCTCACCCCTCCCTTCCCCAAGGCCGTGGACATGTGACAGAACCTCAACTGAGCTGAAGATGAATGACACCTCTTATCTGGACAATGGCTGAGAGGGGGGGCTCTGGACTATGCTACGACTTTCCCTTAAAATTCAGTGTCTTCACCTCCTATATGTACATGTATAATGTCTGTTTATGTTGCTTTGCTGTGGTAGGTTTTTTTGATGCCTCAAATTGTACCCTGTCTAGGACACGGCGTGAGAGATCTTTTTTTCATACCGTCTCTCCTCATGTTTTCTTTCCTTTTCTCATCTAAACAAAAATATTATTCTGAATAAGAATAAAAGGGCCACGCTTTCATAGCAGCAGCTTCGTGCACTATGTCCATCTTTCGGACGACTGTACGTACACGTTCTCGTTGTATCTCAGTGCATTGATAACAAAGTTTATTCTGATTCTGATTTGATCACATTCATGGTGATTTATGAAGAATATACCATCAAAATCAGACATTGTTTTGCCATCATTAGTTATTCAAATATGTTTTAAGACAAACTAAAACTTTTAAGTGGCTGACTCATATTTCATAACTTGACTGATGTTTATTGTTTCTGCAGCTTCATTTAAAGCTTAGTGAAGCCATGTGAACACCTCCAGATTCTTTTGAAACAGATTTTTTTTCTCCATTCATTTAAAAAAAACGTTCAGCCCAAAAGATTTGAGCAAAAACACTGAAATACCCAGATCACATTACCAAGATGGGGAAAAGTCCACATTAACAACAGAAAAAGAACATTCTTAGCTTTGTTAAAATTCTCCTGAAACTTTGTTTTTACATTTCCCTCTCACCTATTAACTTTCCCAGCACACATTTAAAGGTTATCAGAGACAGGATCAGAAAAAGGAATGCTAGATGCAAAACCTTCCACAAAACTAGCTTCATTGTTGTTGTTTTAGAAACAAAATTATAGTGGGTATGTGAGAAGCCCAGTCAAGCATTAATAATATAAAGATGCCAACTTTCCATTACTGTTCCCACACCTGTCTCTACTGGTTTATATACCATATTTTCCGGCGTATAAGTCGCAGTATTTTGCCTACATTTGTCAGTCATGCGACTTATATGCTGAAGCGACTTATATACTTTTTTCATATTCATCAGGCAATTTTTTTGACTGATGGTCTAAATGTCTAAGAACTGCAACAGTGAGTCCTCCCGTGCACGCTCGCTTCACTCAGCTGGTGCATGCAGCTGGAGAGCTAGCGGCTCCGGCTGTGATGGATGGATGTCGCCGTGCCGCCCAGGTGAAATGAAGCTGTTTTGAACCATTAAATAAATGCATAATAACTGCAATGTATGCGTCAAAGCGACTTACATGTATATATGTTTTTTCCTCTTCATGATGCTTTTTTTGACTGATGCTACTTATACACTGGAAAATACGGTAGGTGTTAACCCTTGTACCATCTTTTGGGGGAAAATCAGCCACACATTAATTTTTGTCAGTTTTTACTTGTTAATTTACCTTGATGCAGTCAATGAACAAGTTTTTTTATCTAAAAAGGCCAAAAAAAAATAAAAAATCCTACCTTTTTTTATTTTGTCAGAATTTTATCAAATGCTCGCATATCCTCACAGTAACTTTACTTCACTCGTGTTCCTTGGGGGAGAAGTCGGCCACAGTGAAAAAAAAATAAATAAAAATAAATATATATATATATATATATATATATATATTAAAAAGAAATATTTTAACTCATATTTATCTAATCATAAAATAATGCATTCCTCTCAATAATGTTTTTTTCCAGTTACCTTTGTTACTAAACTTTCAACTTTTATAATAACCCACAAGATGTGCCCCGCTTTTATATTTGAGAGCCTCTGAAAAAACCTACCGGGATGCAGTTCATCTTACACCAGAAAAAATATGTCTTTACCAGCCAGAGTCACTGTGGAGTCCCGCTTCTCATCTCATCCAATAAAATCGATTTTGTTTGAATGTAAAGAGCAAAAACTCACTTGTAATGTGCACAAGTAAATATTTAGTAAGAAACTGTTTCACGTGCATGCAGGCTGCAGCAGCTGTTTATCTGAAGGCAGGAAGTCATTAGTGGGTGCATCGTGCACCTGCAACTCGCTCGTATTTCCATGTCGGTACTGGTGAAAAACATTTTAAAAACTAGTAATTGTACAATGGGCAGAGTAATAATAATAATAATAAATGATTACAAACAAAACTCCATGTTGGAAGACCAGGAGACAGAAGTAAGTTTGATTGAAAACAAGGCCTCATTTTCAGCTACCAATTCTGAAAGGTCCGGTGGTCTGGAGGGTCTTCACAAGACACCAGGCTGAAATATTTTTTAAAAAATAGTCCAAAAGTTTTTTTGGGCATACTAATGGGGGAAAATACACCCCCCCCCCCCCCCCCCCCCCAAAAATTGCGAAAAAAAAAATATTTTGTGAACTAGGAAAAAAAAACAGAAATGTGGAATGTTTTCGACTTAAGTCTGAGTTTTAAAAAAGTCACTTAAACATGATAATTTTCTTTCATGCTGAAATAGACTGACTAGATTTTAGTGGAAAAAAATATTGAAAAAGCATTTCTAATCAAAAAAGGTGATGTATTTTCCCCAAAGGTACATGAATGTTCATAAAGTTAACGATACAAGGGTTATCCAACCTCTGGTGTTGAATCAGTGATTAATGCCCATAATCTCCATGGTAACCCAGTAACTTATCAGTTTCAGTTGAGGGACAAAGACTCACTCCTGCAGTCCTGAACCAGGGCGTTGCCATAGTAACCCAGTTTGCAGTGCTGGCAGGCGGCGCCTTCGCTGTGGTACAGGCATCGCAGACACTCCCCGGTTCGGGCATCACAGGACTCTGGGTCCAACATATCGATGTTGTTGTTGCACTGGCACTGAAGACACTGTCCACCTGCCACAGCAGGGTTTCCATGGTAACCAGGTGAACACCTATCGCAGCGAGCACCTGAACAGGACACATAAAGTTTTGTTAAATCAGTGACTGAAATATGTTCATTAGACATCACCACTTTTGGAAGATAATTTTCATTACGGAGGCAGCTGTGGTTCAGTGGTTTGAGCAGCTGTCCTCCAACAAGAGATGTTTGATTCCTGGCAGTATGAAGTCACATGTTCAAGTCTTCCACTCTAAACCCTTCATTCCCTGCGATGTGCCCCATCATCGTATGAGTGCAGCCCCGATTAAGAATGATTGTTTCTGAGGCTAAAGCTTGGTGTCTGTCTGTTGCCAAATTATCTCACAGGACACATTTTAATGAAACTTTCTGAAATTAATTATTGAATGTGCATCTATAACTATTTATTTTTTACATCAAGCCAATTCAAGGTAAGTGCCATGGCCAGTAGTTGTGTTAGAAAACACAAAAATGACTAATATTCTGTTTATTTTACACGTTTTACCCAAGATTTGGTGTGGTAGTAGATGTGACTGATTCCTAACACATATTCTGAGCACTAAAAGATGCTTAACAGTTTGCCATTACTTGTTTGAAATCAACTATGTCTACCTGTTAACAAAATATTTCATGAACCACTAGACAGATTGTATTATGGCCATAATTCAGTCAATTATATAAAAAAAAAACTGAGCTAAATTTTTGAAGTAGCAATAGCTGAGAACGAATATTAAAATAATGTAAGTACAGTTACTCTGTAAGCATATTGTTTGAGCATAAAAATGTACTCGAGTAAAATTAAAAAATAAGTATTTAAAAACTTACTTTAAGTTACAGTTACTTGGTTACTTTTTAAATTGGCAGAGGTGGCAACTTTCAAGTTTGATGTTCACACAGGGACAAATACAGGTCCTTCTCAAAAAATTAGCATATTGTGATAAAGGTCATTATTTTCCATAATGTAATAATAAAAATGAAACTTTCATATATTTCAGATTCATTGCACACCAACTGAAATATTTCAGGTCTTTAATTGTTTTAATACTGATGATTATGGCATACAGCTCATGAAAACCCAAAATGCCTGTCCCAAAAAATTAGCATATCATGAAAAGTTTCTCTAAACAAGCTATTAACCTAACCATCTGAATCAACGACGTAACTCTAAACACCTGCAAAAGATTCCTGAGGCTTTTAAAAACTCCCAGCCTTGTTCATTACTCAAAACCGCAATCATGGGTAAGACTGCCGACCTGACTGCTGTCCAGAAGGCCATCATTGACACCCTCAAGCAAGAGGGTAAGACACAGAAAGAAATTGCTGAACGAATAGGCTGTTCCCAGAGTGCTGTATCAAGGCACCTCAGTGGGAAGTCTGTGGGAAGGGAAAAGTGTGGCAGAAAACGCTGCACAACGAGAAGAGGTGACCGGACCCTGAGGAGGATTGTGGAGAAGGGCCGATTCCAGACCTTGGGGGACCTGCGGAAGCAGTGGACTGAGTCTGGAGTAGAAACATCCAGAGCCACCGTGCACAGGCGTGTGCAGGAAATGGGCTACAGGTGCCGCATTCCCCAGGTCAAGCCACTTTTGAACCAGAAACAGCGGCAGAAGTGCCTGACCTGGGCTACAGAGAAGCAGCACTGGACTGTTGCTCAGTGGTCCAAAGTACTTTTTTCGGATGAAAGCAAACTTTGCATGTCATTCGGAAATCAAGGTGCCAGAGTCTGGAGGAAGACTGGGGAGAAAGAAATACCAAAATGCCAGAAGTCCAGTGTGAAGCACCCACAGTCAGTGATGGTCTGGGGTGCCATGTCAGCTGCTGGTGTTGGTCCACTGTGTTTTATCAAGCACAGGGTCAATGCAGCTAGCTATCAGGAGATTTTGGAGCACTTCATGCTTCCATCTGCTGAAAAGCTTTATGGAGATGAAGATTTCATTTTTCAGCACGACCTGGCACCTGCTCACAGTGCCAAAACCACTGGTAAATGGTTTACTGACCATGGTATTACTGTGCTCAATTGGCCTGCCAACTCTCCTGACCTGAACCCCATAGAGAACCTGTGGGATATTGTGAAGAGAAAGTTGAGAGACGTAAGACCCAACACTCTGGATGAGCTTAAGGCCTCTATCGAAGCATCCTGGGCCTCCATAACACCTCAGCAGTGCCACAGGCTGATTGCCTCCATGCCACGCAGCATTGAAGCAGTCATTCATGCAAAAGGATTCCCGACCAAGTATTGAGTGCATAACTGAACATGATTATTTGAAGGTTGGTGTTTTTTGTATTAAAAACACTTGTCTTTCATTGGTGGGATGAAATATGCTAATTTTTTGGGACAGGCATTTTGGGTTTTCATGAGCTGTATGCCATAATCATCAGTATTAAAACAATTAAAGACCTGAAATATTTCAGTTGGTGTGCAATGAATCTGAAATATATGAAAGTTTCATTTTTATCTTTACATTATGGAAAATAATGACCTTTATCACAATATGCTAATTTTTTGAGAAGGACCTGGATATATATTTTCAAATGACTTCTTAAATTAAATACAAATACCCAGTTTATTATCTGTCCATCCATTGTCTTTTACCTACTTCTCCTTTCTGCAGGTGGAGCTGGTTTCTGACTCCATCAGTCTCTGTGTGAGAGGCAGGGGACAGGACAGGTCTCCAGTCCATCACAGGGACACAGAGACAAACCATTCACTCTCTCACTCTCACCTAGGGTCAATTTAGTTACTAACTAATCTAACATGCATGTTTTTGGTCTTTGAGAGAAAAATGGGATACCTAGAGAAAACAGAAGTGCATGGGGTGAACTTGTAATAACTCCACATATCGTATTTTCCGCCGTACACGTCGCACCGCCCTATAAGTCACATCCGTCCAAAAATGTCTAATAAAGTGTAAAAATCTGATTTGACGGTTGCTCCAGGAGAGCTGGAAGAAGGTGGCAAGCTTTGGCAAGCCGATTGTGTCATTAATAGCCACTTTTACCTATTACATGACACAACAGCATGTCATACCACTCGAGCGCCATGTAGCGGCTGAAAATGGCAGTGTTCAATATTTTCAGTCAGAATGAATGAAAACGGTCATATCTCAGACAAAAACTGGTTTATGAATATGGGGAAAATCCATAAATACGTCACTTGGGCATGTAAGTCGCAAGGCATGCAAATTATGCAAAAAACTCTGATTTATAGGGCGAAAAATATGGTAGTAAAGCTGGGAGGTACACTACACTAATCACTGCCAGCCAGTTTGTTATGACATTTCTAAATTAGGCATGGCTACAAATTATATTTAGAACATTTGGAGACCATAAATAATAATTTCAGTGCAGTCTGCATACATTAACCTGTCAATTACCTAAGCATGTTTTACAGACTACTGAACAGCACAATGGCTCAGTGGTTAGAACTGTTGCCCCACAGTAAGAAGGTCCTGGGTTCAAGCCTGTGTTGGGGCTGGGGTCTTTCTGGGTGGAATCTGCATGTTCTCATTGTGTTTGTGTGGATTTTCTCCCACAGACCAAAGCAGTTGTTTGTTGGTAACTGTAACTTGTCTTTAGGTGAGAGTGTCTTGTTTGTCTCTGTGTATCCTTGTCATGGACTGGAGACCTGTCCAGAGTGTCCCCCACTTCTCACACAGTGACTGCTGGAGACAGACACCAGCTCCACATGAAGAAAGGAGAAACAAGTAAAAAAAAATGGACTGAGGGTGGAAAAACGTGAACTACCTGCCCTGCTCGAGGTTTTAATTTGTTCTTGTTCATCTCACTTCCAGCCGGATCACACCCCGACTGACTGGTGAGGAACAGATCCAGACACTGCGGGCTGACGCTGTGATTGGTTTTTTCACCACCTGATTTAATTTCACATATTTACGTTCACATTTTCTACTCTGAAACAGATAGGATTTTAAATGGAACTAAGTAAAATACTTCAAATTAAACATCCATCCAATATCCTCCTCTTGTTCCAAAGTCGGACCTTGGAGGCAGCAGTTTGAGCAGGGAGACCCAGACATCGCATTCCGTCTGTTCTTCCCTCACTCGTGAACAAAACCTCGAGACACTTGAACTCCTGCCTTGAGGCAGAACCTCACACTCGACCAGACGAGAGCAATGGTCTCTGCTCTCAAATAAAACATACTCATGTAAAAGTATAGATTGGTATGCTTCATACTGTTGTTCTTTACACATGGACTCACAGGCATTTCCTGTTAGAAATTAACCCTTTAGCTGCTTTCACCTTCAGCTTTGCATCAGCACTCTTGTTGGCAGTTGAAGGTTGTAGCTTTCAGCATGCAGAAAACAGACACCTTGACATTTGGTCTGGTTAAAGCTGACAGTCCCAACCAGAGATTTAATAAGCCCTCAGCAGATGTTTGTGTCTGATCGGAACAAAGAGGAAAGTTGGTGACTTATGTGTCTGTCAGCAGCTGATTGCATCTTTGCCATCTTATTTCCTGTTATAATAACAGGCCTCTGCACATTCCTGCACTTAGTGCTTCCATCAGCCCAAATAACAGTTTCTCCTCTTCAAATTGAAGTCCTTTTCATCTCTGAGGACGCCATCTGTCAGTATCACGGAAACTAAAACAACATGCACTGAAATGTCCTCAGCTGCGAGCTGATTTATGGAAGGAAAAAAACCTGTCATTACAAGTATAAAGTGGGTTTGAATTGGTGGCTCATATGAAGCAGGCAATCTGCTGAGGAGGTCATTAAGTCCTTTGACTCAGGTGTTTTGGAGCCGGAACATGTCTGAAACATTTGGGACAGCAGATGTTGAGAACCAGGACTGGGAAACCACCGTAGAGTGCCTGTAAGGCTTGTAGTTGCAACTCAAGCAGCTTTTGGAGGTAAATGATTAACATGTGAAGTTGCCATTTCATTCAACTGTGTAGTCTTGCAGAAAAATCACATGTGCAGTCGTGGGAAAAAGGAAAGTCCACCCCATTTCTGTTCTAGAGTTTTACTCATCTGGACATTATTAAAACAATTGTGTCTTTATAGGTTCTAAAACTATTCAAATCTAATCTCATATGGATAAAAACTCACAAGAGATGTCACCACGTAAAACTGCCTCTGATCCAGCATCTTGTAGAACCTCCCTCAGCATCAACAAATCTTCGACTGTGGTTTTCTGTAGGATTTTTATCAGTCTCTCTCATGGCTGTCCACCCGGACCCCCGTTTAACTGGAAGGTTCTTTCAGTTAAAAGGGATGGGAAACTGCGACGAAAGGAAGATTCAATACAATCTGCTGGCTTCCTTAGATAATCACAAAAAAGTTAAATCATGTCTTCTGGACCGATTCTTCTTGGAAGAAACATTTTTTCTTTTATCTGAAAGATTTCGTCAGTCTGAGGCCTGGTTCGGTGTGTAGGAAGTCAGCCATTAGGCCTATCACTTTTGATTGTTAAGCACTGATGATGGATTGTTTAGACTGATGGTCCCATTTGAATGTGTAAAGCCAGTTTCTGGGAACTCCACAGCAGACTGGCTTGAAACACGTCAATAAGGTGCTATTTATACGACAGATCTTGTTGGCAGGCCTTAGACTGATGAAGTCGTTTGGATGAAAGACAAAATGTTCTTATCTGTCCAGACGACATGATTTAACTTTTTGTGATTTATTTACCTGGATGATTGAACTAACAAACTTTTTTTTTCCTAATGTAACTTTTACTACTAGTAATAGGCATTTTGTAATGTATGTGAATATTTTAGTACAGTTCATTCATTCATCCTTTATTTATACAGGTTAGACTCATTGAGTCACTCAACAATAGAGACCTGTAAATAGTGCCCTGGAACAACTTCTGTTGTGACTTGGTGCTATAAAACAAACTGAATTCAATTCAATCTGGGAATCTTCTTCATTTTAAACCTGGAGAGTGCGAATTTCCAAGCGTCATGTGGCATTTGTTGCTTCATTATGCAAGCTAGGTCCACAAGCAGATTGATCTCAGTCCTATTTCTCCTGAGGGTCTTTGTTTGTCTGGCTCATAAGAGAATGTCAGTCTACTGTTCCTTGAGTTTATCTTTTAATCTTGTTTCCTTTTGTCCTTTGGGATTCTTGTGTCTTGGTCCTGCTCTGTGCATTCCCTTTACGGGTTTTCATTTTCACCCTCAGTCAGCCTCCTCAGTTTTTCCTTGGTCAGCCACTCTCACCTGTGCCCACTTCATAATCACCCAGGTGCCTCTGTTTTTCCAGTCACCTCTGCTCTGCCCTTTATATCCAGTCTCTGGTTCACTTCTTACCCTCCTGCCACTGTGATAGATAGAGAAATGTTTTTGTAATATGCTTTAATTTTGAGTAAAAATGTCTACCATATTTTTCAGCCTATAAGTCTCAGTTTTTTGCATAATTTACATGCCCTGTGATTTAAAGGCTGAAGCGACATATTTATGGATTTTCCCCCATATTTATAAACCATTTTTTGGCTGAGATATGACCATTTTCATTCATTCTGACTGAATTTTTTCAGTTCCAGTTCCCTTCGGTGAGATCCGTAAACATTCTTGAGGGATGTCGAGGAATGGCCAAGGACAATGCTTATGGGAATCCAAGAGTCCTGAAATGATGACACAATATTTATTCAGCTGGTTTTCTATGGTTCATCAGCTGGAAATTCTTTGATGGGAGGGGGGCAAGCGTCGGATTACATGTTCTCCAGGTGAATTCAGATAAGGTGTCCTTCAAGGCCAGCCAGGGGAGCCAAATTCAGATAAGCGCACAACTGTTTTGTGGACAGGCAGAACTGAATGACATCTACCTTGAGTCTGTGTTGGTCCACTCAGTTCCGAAATGTCCAAATTAAATGGCCACACCGATGGAATGTGCCTGAGTAAAATCCCTGAGATCTGATCTATTCTGCCAAAAGCATTTGAGTCTGGGTACTCGAGGCACGAACCAAGCCATCATAAAGGCAAGCAGCGTGATCCGGTCCCAGTTTACTGCCGACAACTTCCTTGATTGTAGATATACCAGCACCCAGCCAAATCCAAAAAGCAGGAACCAGTTATCATAAATCCAATTATAAATGCATCCTTAAAATCCACAAATGGCAGCAGCAGAGATAGACACATCATCAGGTCTTCCAAGTCAATGAGATATCCAGCTGCGTGCATGCCAACAGGGCAAATCGGCTTGCCTAAAGCCTGTCTTCGCTTCGAAAAAATGTTATCAATTGTGTTGATGGACCAAATGATCAAATCAAGTCCATAATTATGGTTTGGAAGATATGTAGAGAAGCTCAGAAAAAGTTTCACAGACCAGACAGAGCAGCAAAGCAAAGCGAAGAGGGAAAGGAGGGGAAAAGTGTCTGACCTCGGCGAGAGCAAGAGATGAAGTGAATAATTATTTTTAAGTGTTAATCTTGTTAAATTCTTGTTAAAGTCCTCCCGTGCACGCTCCCATGGTCGCCATTTGACAGCCCATTGATTTTTGGCACAACACTGGCCCACATTTCCGGGTTCGGCCCACATTTCCAGGTTGTCAGTGGTGACGCATAACAAACACGACGCGTCAGCGGTGACGCATAATAGATGCGACGTATATGGAAAAGTGACATATCTATGGATTTTTCCACTTTATTAGACAAATATGGACTGATGTGACTTATAGGTCGGAGCGACAAGTTCGCCGGAAAATACAATAATTCTCCACAGGCACAGGGCTCAACAGAGGAGTGCTAGCAGTTCAAGACCAGACTCAACTGGGCACCTACACCTCAAGGATAAGGGACACACTTTTGAGAAGCAAAACATTCATAATTTGGAAATAAATGACAAATGGTTTGAGGGGTGTGAAGGTAGACATCTACATCAAACAAGAAAAAAACTACTTTAAACAAAGGAGGAGATATCAGATCTCAGATTTTCTAAACCAACAATGGAACATTAGGTATCATAAATAATTATTATTTTCTTTATCCGATAAAGATCAGGCCAGTTTTATTATGTACTGACATATTAAGGAGGACCTCCAAATCTGAGGCCATGGTCCTCAGTCAGAAAAGGGTGGATTGCTCTTTTCAGGTCGAGGTTCAAGTGGAGGAGTTCAAGTAACTCGGGGTTTTGTTCACAGTGAGGAAAGAATGGAGTGTGAAGTTGACAAACGGATTGGTGCGGTGTCTGCAGTATTGAGGACTCTGTGCTGGTCCGTTGTGGTGAAGAGGGAGCTGAGCTGTAAGGCAAAGCTCTGTTTATTAGTCGGTCTACATTCCTACCCTCAACTATAGTAATGAGCTCTGGGTAGTGACTGAAAGAATGAGATCATGGATACAGGAGGTTGAAATGAGTTTCCTCTGCAGGGTAGCTGGACTCTCCCTTAGAGATAGGGTGAGAAGTTCAGTTACTGTATCAGGAGAGACTTGGAATAGAACTGCTGCTTCTCCACATCAAGAGGAGCCAGTTGAGTTGGGTTGGGCATCTGGTAAGGATGATCCCTGGGTGTCTCCCTAGGGAGGTGCATTGGGCATGTCTGACTAGGAGGAGACTCCGAGGAAGACCCAGGATACGCTGGAGAGACTATGCCTCTCGGTTGGCCGGGGAACAACTTGGGGTCCTCCCAGAAGAGCTGAAAGAGGTGGCTGTAGAGAGAGATGTATGGACCTCTCTGCTCAAGCTGCTGCCCCCGAGATTTCGGAACAAGCGGAAGATGATGGATGGATGGATGTTAAGGTGTCTAACATGGTTCTATTCAGTGATGTTTGTTCTTTTGTCTGACCTTCAGCATCAATAAAGTTTTACCTTTGTATCCTGCGTTGCAGACACAGACAACCTGTTCAGAGTCATCACTGTGGTAACAACTTCCTGCAAACTGCCGCAGACTCTCAGGGCCATCGGGACACAAACAGGGCCGACAGTGGTCACCTGATCCCAACACTGGGTCACCATAGTAACCCTTCAGACACCTGAAAATACGTGAATTGATAAGTGTTCTGCTAGGGACGGGATGAGAGACCAGGTTCTATTGGGTTACCTGTCACAGCTGTATCCAGTGGTGTGGTCCCTACAGGCAATGCAGTGCCCAGTGTCAGCCTCACAGGAGTCGGCATGTCCATTGCAAGAGCAGGGTCGGCAGGATGGAAAGCCCCAATGACCCGGCAGACAGCGATCACACTGTTGACCGTACGCTCCGGGGACACAAATGCACTGACCGGTTAGCTGATTGCAGAATGGACTCTGAGATCCCTCAGGGTGGCACGCACATGCTGAAAGATTGCCAACACAAAACACATTAAAGAACAACACATGAAAAAACAAAACTCTGCTGGAGGTTGTTTCCATCTCCAACCTGAGCAGTTTGTGTTTGTTTGGATTACAAACTGAAGAGTTTCTGACCTCTGCAGCCACTTGGTCCGAACTGAAACGTAGCTGGAGCACATCTGTCACAGTTCCTGCCAACCACGTTGGGTCGACACTGACACTGACCCCCGCTGGGATCACACACCGTGCTGAGGGAGCCCTGAGGGTCACACTGGCATTCTTGGAAAAGTCCAACACCGGAGACATTTTAGATCAACAAGCTGCAGCAATTTGCTAACTCCAAAAATGAAATTTAAACATTTACCAGGTCAGAGAAACTCACAGTTCAAACAAATCCAGTCATGTTGGGAACCACAAAGAAGTTCAATCATGTAATCTGGACAGTTACTTTTTGGAAGAAAAGTTTTGTCTTTCATCAGAAAGACTTCATCAGTCTGAGGCCTGCCAACAGGATCTGTCATATGAACAGCATGTGCAGAAACCTTTTTTCGAACCATTTTGGCCACGTTGTCTTCAGGCTGTTTCTGTGGGTTGCAAGTTGGCCATCTGGTTCAACGTTTGATTGTATTGCAGTGTTGATTGATTGTTTTAAAATGATGGTCTCCTTTTTGCATGTTTAAAGGTAGTTTATGGGAATTCAACAGAAGGCTGGTTTGAAACACGTCAAATAGATGCTATTTATAAGACAGACCTTGGTGGCAGGCCTCAGACCGATGAAGTCTTTCGGATTAAGCATTTCTTCCTAAATTAATCTGTCCAGATGACCTGATTCAACTTTTTTGTGATTTATGCACCTGGACAATTGAGCTTACAAACCTTTTTTGACATGTTAGGAAAATCCAACTGGTGTGTTGATGAACATAAATCAGAGAGCAAATGCTCAACAGTTCAAAGCTACAAAGAAAATCTGTAAAATTCCAAGAAAAAAATACAGGAGAAACTGGATTTTCTGCAAAGAAACAGTGTGAATGAGGGCTAAGCATGGCAATGTAAAACAATTTAGCTACACGTGATAAATGCTGCAAACGGCTAGCTAAAAGTAGCAGAGCACTATTTAAATGCTCTAAATAGTAAAAAGCTAGTTAAGTGTTTTGAAAGGATAAAGGTAAAAAATTTCACAGGAAGACAAAATTACAGCAAGTACATTGAAGCAGATTTGAAAAATAAAACATTTTTGTTGGAATTGGAAAGATGTGCAAGTAATAAAAAAGTACAGTTATAAAAGTTTAAATGTTGCAAAAGTCAAAGCGCACAAATTTCCATGTGAGCTGACCGTTTATACTGGTTAATCATTAAAACAGCACGTTTGTATCCAAAAGGCATATGGAAGAAACGTTAAAGAATAATAATAAAGAGAAATAGGATTACTATGACATGAATGGCGAGTCAGCTATCACACAATTATGATGGTCATGATGCATGTTAAGATGTTAAAGGGCACCAAACAAAACAGTCCGAAGAAAGAAAAAAATGTAAGAAAGAAGAGTTTTCAGAAAAAGAAAAAAAAACATTTAATTTGCCTGTTCAAACAAGAAGATGTTTACCTGTCCAGCCCTGATGGTTTATCAAACCTTGAGGGGAATTCTTGTTTAATAACCTGATCCCGTGGGGTCAAAGGTCAGAATTGAGGTGAAAAGTACCAACGTTCCTCAGATAGCATAGACCAGGGTTATTCAACCAATGGCCTGGGGGCCATATCAGGCCCACGGACGACCTCAGTTTGGCCCACCCGTGGGTTCATTCTAAATAAAACTTAATGGCAATAACTGCTAGATGTCCGGCCTCTGAGTTCTTAAACTGTGGCCCCCAGAGCAGCTAATAGCTCTGGCATTGACTATTCTTAATGAGATTAAATCTATTAGAGCCAACCTTCTGATCAATTAGATCAAAACTGTTGATCTTCGATGTTGTACATGTGTCAAACTCAAGTCCCGCAGGCCAAATCTGGCCCTTGTTAATATCTTTTCTGGCCTCCCAACATATATTAAATGTTAAATAATTTTCATCTTTTAGCATTTTGATTTAAAAAAACTGATAGGTTTTTCATTTAGTGCAGACTTCTCAAGACAGCTGGCTAACTTTGAAGTCCAAAAAGGTCTAAAGTTGGAATCTTTCGGTAATGTTTGATTTCTGATGTGGAAAGAACAACAGAGAACGTCAAATGAGGCCAATCAAACTCTTGTTGATGAACCTGCAACCAAGAAAAGATGTCTGGTACCAACTGAAACTGGCCCGTTGCTTGGAAGAAGGTTTTAATTTTTGACCCCTTTGTAACAAAGTTTGACAACCTTGAAAGGATCAAACAAGAACAACAACAAAACAGTAAAGTTTTGCTGCATCAGCTAAACGCTGAGCAGAGATTTGCAGTTCTACGATGGACTGGTGTACCTTTGGCTCCCTGGTGCAACAAGGCAGAAATGCTGAAGATGAAGTTCCTGCAGATGTCAGTCATTGGTGACTTGACAACGCTGCGGCTGTTCTCCAGACACCGATAGCGCTGAAAGGTTTCCCAAGCGTTGTTCCTGCTGGTCTCGCCTCCCGCTGAGGCCGTGAACATTTCCAGGTTCTTACAGTGAGGCATCAACACAATCTGCAGATCAAAAACAGTCAGGATATTAAAACGTCTGGGACTAAAGGCAGCTGCTCAAAGTATTTTGTTCTCTTCTTCTGTAGACAATGAAATATCTTGTTGATGCCATATGAAGGTCTGACAGTTATCAAGGATCCTTGAAAATGTCTTCATAAAAAGATTAGGCATCTGGGCAGGTACAAGAGCACAGCGGTCCCTTCAGGTGGACAGAGTCCAAAACAACATGAACTGTAAAACTTCTTTATTTTGTGTCTGTTGCATGCAGTAAATTATTAATGTGTCACTAGATAGGAATTCATGAAACTTTAGAAAGTTGCAGTTGATTAACTTTTGGAGGGTTCGCATTAGGAGAGGAACTAACGTAATTTAAGATGGCCTCCACAGTCACAGAAAAACAGAAAAAATATATGATTCTGTCATTGTTCCTTTATTTATACATGACCTCCAGCTTTAATATTAAAAATCTTTGTGTTAATTTTGATCAGGACATGTCTTTTATCCCCAATATTAAAAACGTTAGTAGAACTGCCTTCTTCCACCTGCATAATATCACTAAAATTAGAAACATCTTATCTAAAAATGATGCAGGAAAACTGGTTCACAGATTTGTCATGTCTAGACTGGACTATTGTAATGGTTTATTATCTGGGTGTCCAAATACTTCTTTAAACCATCTTCAGTTGATCCAAAATGCTGCTGCCAGAGTCTTAACTGGAGTTAGTAGGAGAGATCATATCTGTCCAGTTTTAGTTCTATTTCATCTAGGCTTCGCCCTTTAAGGCTGTTGCTGATGGGTTTTATCCTGTTATGCGAAGCCTTACACTGAAAAGTTTAGTCCATGCCCACCTGCTGTGTGGGCCCCAGCCGGTGCGTATAAGTTACGTTAAGAGCGGGTAATCGGCTCCCAATTTTCTTCAGCAAGCTAATAGCACTGACCTTCTACAAGATGTCCAACTCCAAAACCATCCGCTTGTTTCCATCCTGCAAGACCGGTTACTTGCTCAGTTTTGACCGGCACGACACCTGCAAAGGATGCCTGGGTCCCCGCCACGTCGCCCCCGCTTCCTCCTGCCGCCTCTGTGATGACCTTCCTCCGGAGGAAAGGCAGAGGAGAGCAGCCTTGTTTAAGGCTAACTTCGAGGACTGCCTGTCCGTGGCAGGAGACTGTTCGCTGTATGATGCGATCGACTTCTTAGACGCCGGCTCTCAGAGCGAATTGGATGGTTCCTCTGGGACAGGCGACATCAGCAGCAGCCCCGATGCTCGCTCCCTCCCGGAGAGCGTAGTGTTGGAACGAGGGGGGCCGAGCGGATGCTCGACCCCTCCGGGCTTTCTCCCCTCAACGGCCACATCGCTCCCTGCCGTCGGCGCCCTCCTATCGGAGTTGCCCGACATTATCCGGGAAGCTGCTGACATGAAGGGACTTTCCGTTCCCTCCCTCCCTCCCCCTGCCCAGATTGGATGATCTAGCGGGAAGGTTTAGCTCCACTCCGGCTCGCCGTCCTGATCCCATCTGGCCTCGGTTTCCAGCGGTGATGTCTTATTGGAACGAGGCCGCGGCCGGTCCTGGTAAACTGAGAGCACCCGTCTCCACTTTAGCTCCCATCACCAGAGTGGAGGGGTTCACTTAGCGGAACTTTCCTTTGGTACCCCCCCTTGAGCCAAGCCTTGCGGAAGCCTTCGGAGTGAAGCTGTCCAGGTTGGAGCAGCGTCCCGTCCCTCCTGGGAAACACGAGCAGACGGTGACCACGCTCTCCAATCGAGCTCATCAATGTGCGTTTCAGGCAGCCGCAGCTAACAACAACGTGGCACTGTTAGCATACAGCGTGTCCAAGAGGCTGGAGGCCGCAGATCTGCCTGAGGAGTCCAGGAGCTCCCTCTGCAAGGCATCTGACGCCATCCTCAACATGTGCGCCTCTTCTGCGGTCTGCCTATCCAGAATTGCAGCGTGGATGACGATGATTCAGCGATCCACCTGGCTCCGTAATTCCCCCTCTCTGCCGGAGAAGCTGCACAGAGACCTGATGGAGGGCCCCATCATGGCGGACGCGCTGTTCGGGAGCAGTTTCAAGGCCATGTTGGAGAACTACAAAAAGTCGGAGGAGATGTCGGAGACCGTGCGCCACCTCATCAAGCCGCGCTGCTCATCCCGCCCCCCGGCCCGCTGGAGAGATCGTTGTGAGCAGAGGCAGAAGCAACGACGTTCCACGGCCGCGGCAGCGTCATCTCCCTCAGCTCCACCACCAGCCCCGCCCGTCAGAGACCAGAACCTCTTCATCCCGGCAACCAGCAGTTCAGCGTTTCCCCAGAGATCGCCAGCAGGTGGCGCCCTGGGCCAACAAATCACAGAGCTCACGGGAGAAAAGGTTCAAAAAATGACGGTCTGCGGAGGGTGTGTGTAAAAGTGACACAAACGTTGAAATAAAACATGATTCATTGATCAAAGTGTCTGTTTTTAGCCAGTCTGTAAGCTAAGATGAACTCACAGCGGCTGCGCACACATCCTCCACACAAAACAAGCCGGTGTCCTTAAATAAAAGTTTTTCAAAATCACTCTTGCTCCAAAACAAGATAAGACGCTCACATGACACAACAGTGGTAAGCAAAATAAATTGTTTTCAGCCCGAGCTGCACAATCCTCACCCAAGCGGTGTCAAACGCGCACTTGCGCGACGCAAACAGCCTTCACCCAAACGGCGTTGCGTTGATGATGGTGCACACACAGCTCCCCGGCGTTCACCGGCTCACATTTGCATAAACGTGGGACCACAGGACGGGTCAGGTGTAGGCCCTCGCTCTCAGCGAGAGCGACACGCGCCGCACCGAAGCAAGCGCGTGCCTCCACGGCGCGGGCAGCCTTCACTCTCCATTCCTCAGTGCTCGGCCATTCACGTCAGCATAAGCGTGAGACAGCTGAGCAAACCCAGTGACGAATCTCGCCCCCAGCGAGAGCGGCGCGCGTCCCATAAAAGAAAATGCGTGCTCCTGCGGGGCTCGCAGCCTTCACTCAAACGGCACGGCGTACATGAAGTCGCGCTCACCGCTTCTCAGCGTTTGTCCGCTCATGTCAGCATAGATGTGAGATCGCAAAGCGAGCCCAGCACAGGACCCCGCTCGCGACACGCGCTTCACCTCAGTGGCGTCATCAGTTGTCACACGCTTCTCCTCAACACTCACGGTCCACCTAGACATGAAGGTGGACCAGCAGTCCAAACGCAGCACACAGGTGCGTTCAGAGCCCTTTTGAAGAGGCCTCGCCTTGTGTCACGCGGAACACATTCCCGCGACACATGACGGTGGTCGAGGCGGTGGACTGGATGACATCCGTACAAAACATGACGCATCACTTAAACGTGCATCCACTCCACGAACGTTACGCGGAGTGGCTAAAAACATGTTCGCCAGACAGATGGATGACCAGGTCTTTGAGCAGGGGTTACACGCTGCAATTTGCAACCCGACCCCCTCCGTTCAGACGAATTTTAGAGACAGTCCTGTCTTCACCAGACCAAATCTCATTCCTAAATGCAGAAGTCCAATAACTTCTGGTAAAAGAGGTGATCTCCAGAGTTCCCAACGGAGAGGAAAACACAGGGTTTTACTCACGTTACTTCCTGGTTCCCAAACGGACCGGAGGAACGAGACCCATTTTGGATCTGTCAGTTTTCAACAAGGCGATCATGGACAGACCGTTTCACATGTTGACAACCAGACAGCTGTTGGACAACATCCAGAGAAACGACTGGTTTGTTTCCATCGACCTGAAAGATGCCTACTTTCACATACCGATCATCCCAAAACACAGAAAATTTCTGGGCTTCTCCTTTCAAGGGATGAAGTGTCAGTACAACAGGCTGCCGTTCGGGTATTCCCTCGCGCATCGTACGTTCTCAAAGTGTGTCGAGACGGCCCTACAACCGTTACACAGAGCAGGGATGAGAGTTTTGTTTTACCTGGATGACCTGCTGCTGTCACGCTCAAGACAGGAAGCAGTGGGACAGGTCCAGGCGCTGACATCACACCTGTTAAATCTGGGCTTCGCCATAAATTGGAAGAAAAGCTCGATTCTCCTGGCCCAGACGATTGTTTATCTGGGAGTGGAGCTAAACTCGACCACCATACGGGCTCGTTTATCACAAACGAGAATCGACACTCTAAAAGACCAGCTCCGCCATGTAAGACCTGGCAGAGTGGTAACAGCTGTTTCCGTCATGAAGCTGTTAGAAACTATGTCGTCAGCTCACAATGTGGTCCCGCTGGGTTTATTATACATGAGACGCCTCCAGAGGTGGTTTGCACGTTTGCGTGTGGATCCAGTAAAACAAAAGAGACGGATGATCACTGTTCCTCCCTCCATGAGAGCAGACCTCCGACACTAGGAAAGCACCCTGGTTCTGTTGGAGGAAGTCCCCGTCAGCAGACCCACGTCACACATGTCAGTCTTCACAGACGCGACGCTGTCAGGTTGGGGGGGGACATGCCTATCTCAAGCTGTAGGGGCACTGTGGCCCCATCACACATCAGCCCACATAAATGTTTTGGAGTGTCGCACGGTTTTGAACGTGATTCAACACTTTGCTCCTGTGATGCAGAATCAACATGTTTTGATTCACACAGACAACAAGGTGACTGCTGCGTACATAAACCGGCAGGGGGGTGTGCGCTCAGCCCAGATGTTACACATTACAAGAAAACTACTGTGTTGGGCACACCAAAATCTGCTCTCCATCAGAGCAGTGTACATCCCTGGTGTTCTGAACAAAGGGGCAGATGTGATGTCCAGGGACGGTCCATGTCACGGGGACTGGACTCTCCATCCAGATCTGATGGCTCAGACATGGCAGAAATTTAGCAAAGCAGCTGTGGACCTGTTTGCGACACGAGAAAACGCTCAGTGTCAACTATGGTTTTCTCTGAGCCCGCGAGACGAACCACCGCTGGGGGTGGACGCGTTTGCTCACAGCCCATGGCCCAAAACGCTCTTTACGCGTTTCCCCCAC